ACCCAGGTACAAGCAATGACGAACCCCCTGACCGACTCGTTGGCCGATGCTGATTGTCATGTGAATCCCAATTTCAAGAAAATAAAAAAAAATACGTGTAACAATTGGCACTATGCGGGATGTACTTTTCCGGGAAACCAGATGAGGCACTGATTAATTTGGCTGAAGTAAGTCACAGAAGGCAACAGAGAGGTGCCGTTCGGGAGGGCTAGAGAGTTGATGGGAGGACGCAGCCAGCCAAGCCATAGAGGACAAGCCCCGTCAGCAGAACCGTCGGCATCACCCGCAGGGGGCCAGGCGGGTCTGGAGGATATTCAGAGTTGAGTCACCGGTCAGTTGCTCGTGGTAGGAAATGGATTGAAAAGAGTGGGCTGTGGAGGGTTCACACTCAGAAAGTGACACACTATTGTCGTAGCAAAGAACTTTTCAGGAGATTCTGAGGAACACAGCGATGTGATGATGTCTTCCTCCTCGAAGCCCTCTTGGAGGCCATGTGCAAAACGGATTGATTTGGGGTGGGCAAGCGCCACCAAGGGGGTGGCTGAGGAGCTGGGTCGTGGCAGGGAGGACAGACAGGTGTGGGCTGACGGCGGGATAAGTCCACAAGAAAACAGGCCGAGAAGGCAAACCGCCTCTCCTCTGTGTTTTTATTACTGGGAACGTGAGCAAATATATGGCAGGTTGGACAAATGAGCAACACAATCTGACATAACCAAATACCTGTTTTCAGCTCTGGCTACTGTGTGATCTGGGGGCTCAGTCACCAGAGGCTGAATGCAGAAATTTTTACCAATTGGGGTCGGTTTTTAATAAATATACAGGACTTAACAGCACCAAGGATGTGACTCCAATTCACACGGACCTTGTGTTTTCATTACTTTAACCCATCTTGCCTTTTCAAACTAATATATATTTGAATGAGTTTTACCCAAAAAAGTCTGTATTTGTAACCTCACTGTTGACTGAGATGAAACGCATGAAAATAGACCAAGAAGTTAAAATTAGTCCTAAGGCAGGTCAACAAAATATCTAATGTGACGGTTGAGAATAATAATCTAAAGAGGGCGCTGAAGTCAACAGTCTGTCTCTCGAAACTTCATTTTTACATTTTTGATAGCACCGCTCCCAGAACATTTGCACTGTTCCAGACTTTAATTTGGAGGAGACCTGTTCTTGGCTCACATCTCGTGCCATACGAAGCACCCCAAAATGATCTCTCATCAGAACCGAGTTATGGTCACTCTGTTATGGATGCGCAGGAGGACTTTCTAATTCTGACAGTGCTCAACAATACTCGAGCATATTTTAAGCATTTTCAGCCTCCTGGCTTTTCTAAAAGGCTGATGTGTTTAGAAAGTCCACAGGGAGGGGACTTCATCGGAAAGTCTCAACTATGCGCAACATAGGAGCACCTTCATAAACACGGGGAACCCAAAGCCTCCACGTTTTGAAGGTGTGCTTTCTTACTTGACGCCCTCATTTGGCCCCTTCTGCTCAGAATACTGAAGACTCGAGAAGGCTCAAGTAATTACTTGAAACAGATCCCTAATGACGAGAAATGAACAGATCGGTATTTATCTTGAATAAATTTATAGTAGAGCTGGGAAAGGGCAGAAAGTGGAGGCATTTAAGAAAGGACTACGAACAACTGTCTTTTTGACAGCCCCTCAACCTACAACTGCTCTATTATTTTTTAAAAAGCCTTCAATTTTCCCTCAAATGTCACAACAAATCCATAGTTTGCTGGTCTATGATCTCTCCCCTTCTCCCTTCTTCTGGAAAAGGGAAGAAAAAAATTTAAATCCAAAAGTTATCATTAGTGCATAATACACTAAAAAAATGTTGGCCTCCCATCCCTTTCAAGCTCAATCCTAATCTGATATGTGAATCGACTAATCACCTCACTGAATTATTTTCATACGAATATGGTTCCTCCATATATTCATTTTACATTCTCTGATTGGAGAGAGCTTCGATAGTGTTTCTATAGGTTCCTAAATAAGAACCGAGACATATGTCTTCAGCTTTTTCTTCGGTTAGGCATGAGCCAACACTATATGTGTCCCTGGGTTTTACCCTTCATAGGAAATCAATCAATAGTGTAACATCATGTGCCCTCTCCAAGTAATTCTAAAGCAACATGTTTGTCCTTGTAGAAAACCTATAAAACATCCATAGTATATCATTAGAAATTACCTCTGGAATTGCCTGCATTAACTCCGGTGCAGTTTTTGGAGCGTTAAAAGTCTGGTGAGTGAGAAGCCGAAGCCAAGCACAGATGTGAGAACGAGGCCACGTTGGAATAAGGTCAGTGATTTAATAAGTGCACTTGCCCAGAAACGCCTGCCCCAAATTGCAGGAAACAACGAACAAAATCAATCCATACCGTCTCTTCATGCATTTTACAGTATGAAGAGCCAGCAACGTAATACGCTGTCAGAGCTGCTCGTGTAAATCTCTTTCTCCTAAAGAACACCCACCCGCTTTAGACTCAGAAGGACTTCTTCTTGGAATACCGGGCACAGAGAAAAGAGCCCGGAACTAAACACAGGACTGGAGCAAGACGCCACCGCCAGATGGCACTGCTTTAGCAGTCCGAGCGTGAACGCCAGGGCGCGGGGAGCTCGCGGAGAGCGCGGGGCCGCGGGACTTTGCGGGGGTCGAGCCGGCCGTCGGGCCCGGCGGGGCCTGCGAGCGCGGCAGCCCCCGGCATTTAGCGCGGCCGGCGGCTCCAACGTGCGTCGGGACTCCTCGTCTCCCGTCTGCTGTGCCCCGCGGTCCCTGCGGCCTGAAGCTCCAGCCGCGACGCCGAGCCTCGACCCCTAGGGCCGACTGGGCCCCGGGAACCCGGGGGAGAAGGGCCAAATTGGGCCCCGGGTTTCCGGAAACGTGCGAAGCCCCCCCCCTCCCCCCCACTGAGCCCTCCTTGCCGCTCGTGGCGCTGACCGGGGTCCCCA